GAAAAGATTACCGTTGCATCTGGATTTTCATATATAGTACTATGTTTCTGATGTGGAAAAGGTGGATCAATCTGCAATGGAATTAGGCTAATTTACTACTCAGAATGAGATAATAATAATAATAATAATAATAATAATAATATTAAGTTGGAAGGGATCTTGGAGGTCATCTAGTCCAACCTCTTGCTCAGCAGGAAACCCTATACTAGTGGTGGCGAACCTATGGCACGCATGCCAAAGGGGGCACTCGGAACAGCACGTGTGCTGTTGCCCCAGCCTCCCCTGTGGCTCCCTCCTCACCAGCAGCCCCCCCAGAGGAGAGTCGCTCCCAGGCGCGGCCCGTGCGGAGGAGCGCAGCCAAGGACATGGCAGCCGGACAGCGGGGACAAGACTCTGCCCTCACACCCCGTCACGCGCAGTTGATGCTGTGGGGCATGGGTGGAGGGTGTGGCTGCCATGGCACTGCTAGGCCCCTGGGTGATTTGCTGGGGGCCATGGAGACGGTGGGTGGCCCTGCGGGACAGGTGGGGCAGGGCAGAGTGTGGGCAGAGCAGGGAGCGGGGATGGGCCAGGGGGGGTGGAGCAGGGATGGGCCAGGGGGCGGTGCGGTTTTTGGGCACTCGGTCTCTAAAAGGTTCACCATCAATGCCCTATACCATTTCAGACAAATGGCTGTCCAGTCTCTTCTTAAAAACTTCCACTGTTGGAGCATTCATAGCTTCTGGAGGCAGGTTGTTCCACTGATTAATTGTTCTAATTGTCAAAAAATTTCTCCTTAGTTCTAGGTTGCTTCTCTCTTTGGTTAGTTTCCATCCGTTGCTTCTTGTCCTGCTTGGTAGCCAACAGATATGTCTACAGATATTTCTACAGATCATCTGACCTGTATTGTGCTGTAAAATGAATCTGTGCTTCATGAGTAAATACCAATAGCACTTAGACTTATATACCGCTTCACAGTGCTTTATAGCCCTCTCTAAGTGGTTTACAGAGTCAGCATATTTTCCTCAACAATCTGGGTCCTCATTTTACTGACCTCAGAAGGATGGGAGGCTGAGTCAACCTTGAGGATCGAACTCCTGACAGTGAGCTGAATTAGCCTGCAATACTGCAATCTAACCACTGCGCCACCATGGCTCATAGGTAAAGAGAAAAGTCTTTAATGTGTAATGATAATTGGATCTGTATCCCAAGAATAGATTCAGTATCAGGATGCTTACATTATTCATAAAGATTCATAGCATTATGTGTCTCTTTCTTATTGGTTTAACTTGTACTTTTGAGTTGTATGATTAAATTTTACATTTTTACACATACAAAGGCACTTTATCCCCACATAGCTAACTAGTCACTTCTCTCTTCTAGAATGTTCTACAGCATATGGATTTATTTATTTTTTTGCTTTGTTTCATTGTACACAACCTGTCTGTTTAGAGATCATGGAGGGGAGCTTTTTACTGATGCCGACAAGGCAAGACTAAATTGTAGTTCTTCATCGGTTGCTTTCTCCTATTGCGTCTTTTCAGCACCACTTTCCATAGCCAACATACCTTTCCCCACACCGCTTCCTTCCTTTTTCAGTTTCAGTTTTTCCTCTTATTTGTTTGTTAGAATTATATCCAGTCTGTCCTCCAAGAGCTCAAGGGGCTGCACGTAACTCACCTTCCTCCTTCCTCCAAGGCATAGTTGGGTCGCCCAGTCCAACATTTTCCTTAACAATGAGACTGATGTGGGTAAAGTGTATCTCTGCTTAGTTCCCTTCTCTGAGCTTCTAACTGGTAAACATAAGGAGACAACAGAACCAGGTATCTATGAGCCCTTTAAAGTAGTCCAGATAAGAAGCACTAACCATGAATGCTGACACTACCATTATTGTGAGATTGTATAACACAGTGGTTCTCAACCTTTTTAATGCCGCGACCCCCAACCAGTCGTAAGTTGAGGACTACTCAACTAGTTTACAGAATGGGACTTTTGGCAGGCTCAGCAGGGCAGAGACAGCCTGGACAATTCCTATTGGCTTTTGAAAGCCAATAGAATTAGACTCTATTCAAGAGAGTCTATTCTATTGGCTTTCAAAAGCCAATAGAATAAAAGGGAGTAGCACAGCTAAGGAAAAGGGGAAAAAATGGCAGACTGCGTTGTTTGGCGACCCCCGTGAAATGGTCGTTCGACCCCAAATGGGGTCCCGACCCACAAGTTGAGAACCACTGGTATAACAGAACCTTGCAAGTCTGAAAGCTTTTGTCCCCTCCTGTACTTTTACTCACCAGAAAACTAGGGAGGGTCCTTTCTGAGACACTTCCCACTCTCCTTTTGCTTATGTGGGCCGAGATAATAACTTTTGCATGGTGGGTGACCACTCTGTGGCTCTTCCTCCTCTCTCCCAAGGTCATTCCCACATAACTATTGCAGTATCCAATTAAGAGGTTTTTCATCGCTATTAAAGGCATCTGGGTAGAGATATCTGTTGGCTACCATCTCATTCTGAGTAGTAAATTAGCCTAATTCCATTGCAGGGCTGGGTTAAAGTAGCAGGATTTCATAGCACCCCTCTTCTACTATACAGTGCTGAGAGTTTATCATACCCCAGCTGGATCAAAACAGATCCTCACATTTTTTCTTTCTTTCTTTTTTTTGGAAAAGGGAAGCAAGGCATGACAGAAGTTGGCTACTGCAGTGCTCATGGATTCCAGCTAGAGTGTAACATACGCGGCTTTGTTTCAACCATCTCCCACGTTCATCAGAGAAAGCACAGATGGCAAATGTGGTTGAATTTGATAAGAAAGGCTCTTGAGATACTCTTGTCAGAAAGCCTCTTCTTCAGCCATTCCATGCTTTTCACTGCAGGGGTGGCTTTCTGGCTTTCATCCACGGAAGAGAATTGGCTCAGATAAGATGGCAGCAGGATCCCTTGCAGCTCTTCCTTTTGGATTCAGAGATTTGTTACAGTACCATAGCAGAAGAGAAGGTTGTAAACATTACTTCCTCTTTCCTGCACGGAGAATACAATACAATTGATGTTAGGGTCAGTCTTCTACCTAGGTGTGGATTTCTCTCCGTAAGACTTTCAGTCTTGATTCAGTTCCCAAGCCCTCGTGGAACTTTCTCTTAGTTGTTCCCAGTGCTTTTTTTGTAATAAAAAAAGGTGCCGGAACTCACACATGTCATATAACCCGCCTTGCCTACCCTATAAGGTTCCATCCAAAAAAGGTGCCAGAACTCCGTTCTGGGCATTCTATGACAAAAAAAAGCCCTGGTTGTTCCTCCCCCATGTTAGATTACCTTGCTTTGTAATAATCCAAATGCATCATGCACTTCCTTTTTTCATGATTTTCAAAAAGGAGCGCAGCAGCAGCACAACATTGCAGGAATTCCAGGCCCACTTAGTTTGAAACTTGTTGACAATTAAGAAATCATGCAAGCCACATTGTTTTGCAGCATATATTCATGAAATACAGCTCCAATTATCTAACAGGTAATTCCCAGATCTGGTGGGAAAGACTTACTGAATGGAAATTGTGAACCCTGAAACTTAACAGGTCTGGAGCTGATATTATGTAATTATTCTTAATTCTGAGGAAAGACTGAAGTATAAACTCAGCTTGAAGCAGACTGGTTGCTCAGAAAGAAGTCCCACCCTTCCTTCCTTCCTTCCTTCCTTCCTTCCTTCCTTCCTTCCTTCCTTCCTTCCTTCCTTCCTTCCTTCCTTCCTTCCTTCCTTCCTTCCATTAGGAGAGGAATGCGCAGGCATAAGATAGCCATTAGTTCAAATGACAAGCTTTCAGCTTGCTGACTGATGTCTGTGTCAGCACAAATAATTGTCCACAAAAAGTGTACTTGTCTTCAGCTAAATTATATAATTGCCTGTCAAGTGGAAATTGTTAAAGGAATGAGAGATAATGGTGAAATGGGCACTGTTGTTTAAAACCAGTTTTGATTTCTCTCCTCTTTTTCCTGAAAAGGTTCTGAACGGGCATTTTTTTAGATGTAGTTCATTCAGGAGCCCTCTCAAGGATATCTCTACTGAACAGAGAGAGGTGCATCAGATTGCATATGCTGGAAGCAATGGGGGTGGTGGAGTGGAGAAATATAGAAAAGTGTTGGGGGGGTGGGGAGACTCATGTATGTCATACAGCCTTCCAGTAGCTGATAGATCTTGGCTATACTGTCATCTGCTTCAGAATAAAATTCAGCTTTGCATATGGAACTCTGGAGAGGGTGGTATATAACCCATCATTTCAGGCAGCATCTTCTTTTGTGCCAGCTCTGGATTCAAGCAGTTTGGACCACTGCTGTTTTTCCTTCATGTGCGTCATTTGGCATGGCTGCCTTCTGTGCCACCTGGACCACAGAATCCTCGGTGACACAGCAGGGGGATTTGGGTTGCATTTTCACTTAGTATGAGAATATCCAGTTTTGAAAACAGCTAAAAATGTCATCTGATCCTCAGATCTGGTTCTTGTGATGAAATCATAATTTATCTTAATGGTTCACTGTGGTTATATGGTAGGCAATACACAAACAATATTCTAGACTGCCCCTGTCAATGTCAACCCCAACCCATTTGGTTTATTTATTGGATTTATGCCTTGTCTTTCTATCAGTTTACTAATCAAGGAGATAAGAAAAATAGGGAGATGAGAGAGGGATCTTCCTTCCTTCCTTCCTTCCTTCCTTCCTTCCTTCCTTCCTTCCTTCCTTCCTTCCTTCCTTCTTTCCTCCCTCCCTCCCTCCCTCCTCCCTCCTCCCTCCCTCCCTCCCTCCCTCCCAGTCCTTTGTAGGCTAGTCTGGCCAATATTACTCATGTCAAGTTTTGGGCTGGTCATAAACTGAAAAATAATCTCACCTTTGTAAATCAACAATCCATTATGCACATACATTTTCATTTATCTTTATCCTTTGCATGTTATTCCATACACTTTCCCCTATTTGTGCTAGCTCATTCTTGGGGTAGATGGAGTTACTTTACAGGTGCTCTGTCTTTTTTCTCTCCTCTGCAGTCTTGGGGACCAGTTCTACAAAGAAGCCATAGAGCACTGCCGCAGCTACAATTCCCGTCTCTGTGCTGAGCGCAGTGTTCGTCTTCCGTTCCTGGACTCACAGACTGGTGTTGCTCAGAATAACTGTTACATATGGATGGAAAAGAGGCATCGAGGACCAGGTACAAATACGGCCTGTGGGAAGCCATGTGGGTTTCCTTTACTAGGAATGTTAAAGTTCTGAGTAGCCACTTTTTGAAGGACCAGCCTAAAATGGCTGACTTGAAAGGGGGCCTTTGGTCGCCACAGAAGATGAGTAAGTCTCGGTTATTCTCCCAGTTGCATTCTCTGTCAGTGTACAGGCAAATTTTGCCCCTTCCCCAACTTATATCACTTCAGTTTCTTTATTTCTGTGCAATGGAAAAGCAATACCTAAGAGAATTGACAATTCAGTAAAACGTTTATTGAACAAACCATATTTAGCAGACTTTGGATGCAATGGACCAATTTTAACTCTGGACACCTTCCCCAAATCATACACAATCTTGTGCATCAAAAGTAGTCTGGATGTTCAGTTTATTTTCTTTTTTTTAATGAGCAATTCATATTGTTGATGTAGTGATGTCATTACACATCAATTTACATGATTTGTGTAATGACATCATTACATCAACATTATAAATTGATGAATGGGATATTTTCATATTTAACAGACATTCAGCTATAATGGACACCTTTCTTTGTTTAGTTCCTTAAATCAAAAGTTTAACTGTATTAAACAGAGCTGAGAGAAAAAGACTTTTTTATGTTATTATTGAGACACCTGAGAATAATGGAAATTATTTTTCAAAAGAAAAATCCACAAATGACCATCATATCCACTAATCCACAAATCCATTAACTATTTTGAATGACATTCAGTTTGACAAAGAGCTTGACCTGCAACTATAATGTAAAAATAAAGTGATGTATTATATGGAATTCTATGGTTTCCTCTTAGTGTGTGTGTGTGTGTGTGTGTGTGTGTGTGTGTGTGTGTGTGTGTGTAAGCAATGCAAACTGTTTCTGAGTGGGAGACAATGAGGTACAGATATCCTTGACTTCTCCCCCCTCTATTTTAAAAAGAAATTGTAATATGGGCTTTTCTGCCTTTTAATTTCCAAATGAAAAATCTACTGAAGACACAGAGATATTGGTTTAGTTGCTTACCTGACTAGATAATAAAAAAACCTTGTAGTAGATGAACTGAAGAATAAGAAATTAAACAATATTTGTCTTTCCCTTTCTTCCACTGCATAAGAAAATTAAGAAATATGCACAGAGAAGAAGAAAGATAGAGGAGGTGGAGTTCCTCTCTATATAAGAAGTAATTACATCTCTACAGAAATAGAGCACAACAATGATGAAAACTGTCTTGAATGCATTTGAGTCAATGTAAAAGGGGAAAAAATGACATTATCATAGGTGTATACTATAGGCCACCCAACCAAACAGAGGAAATAGATGAACTTTTTGCTAGTCAATTAAAAAACAGGTCTGCGAACAACTAGAAGCAAACAAAGTTATAACTAGTAGCCAGCATGGGTTTGTTAAAAACAGATCATGCCAAACCAATCTTATTTCATTCTTCAATAAAGTGACTAAACTAATTTGTTGTTGTTAGTTGCGAAATCATGTCCGACCCATCGCGACCCCATGGACAACATTCCTCCAGGCCTTCTTGTCCTCTGCCATCTTCTGGAGTCCATGCCTACTGCTTCAGTGACTCCATCCAGCCACCTCATTCTCTGTCGTCCCGTTCTTCTATTGCCCTCAATCTTCTCCAGTGAGTCATTCCTTCTCATTAGGTGGCCAAAATACTTGAGTTTCAACTTCAGGATCTGGTCTTCTAAAGATCAGTCATAGTTGATCTTCTCTAGGACTGACCGGTTTGATTGCCTTGCAGTCCAGGGGATTCACAGGAGTATTCTCCAGCACCGTAGTTCAAAGGCTTAAATTCTTTTGTGCTCAGTCTTTCTTATGGTCCAGACTAAACTAATAGACCAGGGAAATACTGTGCATATAGTGTACTTAGACTTCAGTAAGGCATTTGATAAAGTAGACCACAACTTACTTCTTGGTAAGCTAGAAAAAGATGGAATAGACAATATCACCACCAGATGGATCTGTAGTTGGCTGGCAAATTGTACTCAATGAATAGTCCTCAATGGCACCACATCCACATGGAGAGAAGTAAGCAATGGAGTACCACAAGATTCCATCTTAGGTCCAGTACTCTTCAATATCTTCATCAATGACTTAGATGAGAGAATTGAAGGGGAACTCATCAAATTTGCAGATGATGGCAAACTGGCAGGAGTAGCCAACACCCCAGAAGACAAATTCAGAATCCAAAAAGATCTTGACAAATTTGAACAATGGGCCCTTTCCAACAAAATGAGTTTCAATGTGGAGAAAAGGAAAGTTTTACATTTAGGCAGGTTAAAATTAAAGGTACAAGTACAGACTGGGTGAAACCTGGCTTAAAAATAGTAACTGTGAGAGGGACCTTGGAGTCCTAGTAGATGATCACTTGACCATGAGCCAGCAGTGTGCAGCAGCAGCCAAAAAAGCTAATACAACAGAGCCATAGAATCAAGATGTCGCAAAGTATTAGTAACTCTTTATAAAACCCTAGTAAGACCACACTTGGAATACTGCAACCAATTTTGGTCATCATATCACAAAAAAGATGTTGAGAGTTTGGAAAAAAATTCAGAGAAGAGCAACTATGATGATCAAAGGCCTGGAAACTAAAACATAGGAAGAACGGCTGTGGGATTTGGGTCTGGCTAGTCTAAAGAAAAGAAAAAATAGGGGAGACATGATAGCAGTATTCCAGTACTTGAGGGGCTGCCACAAAGAACAGGGGGTCACATTATTTACCAAAGCACCAGAGGGCAAGACAAGAAACAATGGTTGGAAACTGAACAAAGAGAGAAGCAACCTTTGAAAGGAGAAACTTTCTGACAGTAAGGACAATTAACCAGTGGAACAGCTTGCCTCTAGAAGTCGTGGGTGCTTCATCACTGGAGATTTTTAAGAAGAGGCTAGACAGTCACTTATCTGAGATGGTATATGTTCTCTTGCTTGAGCAGGGGGCTGGACTAGAAGACCCCAAGGTCCCTTCCAGCTCTATTCTATTCTAAACTAGGATATGTAGGAAGCACATCACAATAGTAATGGGGGACTTTAATTACCCTGACATCAACTGGGAGACAAACTCTGCACCAAGTGGAAGATCAAACAGATTCCTGACAAACCTAGTAGACAACTTTGTTTCCCAAAAAGTAGAGAGGGGAACCAGGGGATCAGCCATATTGGACCTAATTCTCACTAACAGCGATGAAATGATAGAGGGTGTTGAAGCCACAGGAACCGTGGGGGGGGGGAGTTCATGCAATATTGGAATTCAACATTATGCAAGCACAAGCAATAAAACATAGTCAAACTAGAGTCTTGGACTTTAAGAGAGCTAATTTCAATAAACTTAGAAAGATCTTGGGAAGGATTCCATGGATGAAAAATCCTCAAGGGGAAAACAACTCAAGAAGCTTGGGAAATTTTGAAAATGAGATTATGAAAACCCAGTCTAGCACAATACCAATGAAGAAGAAAAATAACAGCTCTCAAAAGAAATCAGCATGGCTGCATAAAGAACTCTCTGATAAGTTGAAAGACAAAAAGGACAAGTATAAAAAGTGGAAAGAGGGGCACATAACTAAGGCAGAATATCAGCAAATAGCCTGAGCCTGCAAAGATGAAGTGAGGAAAGCTAAGGCTCAAAATGAACTAAGGCTTAAGGAAATGATTGATCCATTAGTGGGAGAAAGTGGAAAGAAGGTGACAAGCAACAGGGAGAAAGCAGAACTATTTAACTTGTTTTTTGCATCCGTCTTTACACAAAGGGAAAAAACAGTCCAACCTATCAAAAATAGTACTGTAAAAAACAGATTAGAAACACAAGTTAAGATAGGCAGGAAAGTGGTAAGTGAGCACCTGTCCACCCTAGACAAGTTCAAATCACCAGGACCAGATGGATTACACCCAGGGTTCTGAAGGAACTGGCAGATGAGATCTCAGAACCACTGAACTATATCTTTCAAAGATCCTGGAGCACTGGGAAACTACCAGAGGACTAGAAAAAGCTGATGTCGTTCCCATCTTCAAAAGAGAGAAAAAAATGGATTCAGGAAACTACAGATCTATCAGCCTGACCTCAATACCTGGGAAGATTCTGGAAAAGATAATCAAGCAATGAATCAGTGAACACCTAGAGGCAAACAAAGCCATTATCAAAAGCCAACATGGGTTTATCAAAAACATATCATGCCAGATAAATCTTATTGCATTCTTTGACCAGGTGACAAAATTAGAGGAATGCTGTGGATATAATTTACTTGGACTTCAGTAAGGCATTTGATAAGTAGACCACAACCTACTACTTGATAAGATAGAAAAATGTGGGTTAGACAGCATCACCACCAGATGGATTCGTAGCTGGCTGACTGGCCATACTCAGTGTGTAGTCCTCATTGGATCTGCATCTACTTGGAGGGAAGTGTGTAGTGGGGTGCCCCAGGGCTCTGTTCTGGACCCAGTGCTCTTCAACATTTTCATCAGCGATTTGGATGAGGAGATAGATGGGGAACTCATCAAATTTGCAGACGACACCAAGCTGGCAGGAATAGCCAACACCCAGAAGATAGACTTAAGATATAGAAGGATCTTGACAGACTTGAACATTGGTCACTATCTAACAAAATGAAATTCAGTGGTGAAAGTTCTACATTTAGGCAAGAAAAACCAAATGCATAGGTATAGTATAGGTGACACCTTGCTCAATAGTAGTAAATGTGAGAGGGATCTCAGAGTCCTAGTTGACAATCACAATCAATTTGACAATATGACAATTGACAATCAATATGAGCCAGCAGTGTGCTGCAGCTGCCAATTGCGAAGTCGTGTCCGACCTATCGCGACTCCATGGACAATGTTCCTCCAGGTCTTCCTGTCCTCTACCATCTTCTGGAGTCCATTTAAGTTCACACCTACTGCTTCAGTGATTCCATCCAGCCATCTCATTCTCTGTCGTCCCGTTCTTCTATTGCCTGGAATTGGGTATGTCTAGTTTAATGAAGAG